GCTTTATAGAGAGCCTGAAGCCTAAGAGCAGTAAGGTGAGGACCTGCCCAGAGTCTCGCAGTGGTAGAGCTGGGATTTAAACCACTGTCTAGAGAGCTTCAAATCCTTAAGTCTTTCCAGACACTGGCCTGCCTCATGGGAGGAGGAGACTGCAGACTTCTCTATCCAGTTAAGGAAAATAGGCCCAGGGAGCAGAATGGACTCATCCAAGGTCTCAAATACGTTGAAAGTGGAGCTGGGGCCCGAGCTTCTGGCTTCTGGGAATTGGGCATGACTGAGCTGAGCCAGGTCCATGGGAAGACCTCGGCAGGGTCACAGAGACCCTCACTGCATGCCCAAAGTACATCTGATCCTGGGACCAGCAGTTAGCATAATGGCTATGTCGCTGGATTCCCACGTAGTCGACCACGGTTTGCGTCCCGGACCCGGTGGCTTAAAACCCACACCGGGCACGTGTGCGTGCGTGCCCAAGATCCCGAGAGGAGAATGGAGGAGAAGGGATTGCGGCGTGGCCATCCCCCCCGGGAGGTGATTTCTCACTTTCTGTCTCTCTGTCTCTGTCTGTCTGATGAGCGCATACACCCTATAACAAAAATCTCTCAACAAAAACAAAAAACAAAGCACACCTGATCCTAGGACCCAGTAACACTGCCCAGCAGGGCCAGAGCACAGAGCACACACACCTGGTGTCATGTCAGCTCTGCCATTTTAAAAGTCATGTGAGGTTGGGGCCACCAGAGGATGAGATGGTTGAAGCACTGGACTCCACATGGCTGACAAGGTCCAAGTCCCAGACCTGGCGGCTTCCTTTCTCATTTTCCCTCTCTCTCTGGTCAGATTTAAAAATAATAAAAAATAAAATTTAATAAATATTTCTTTTTGTGCACGCACGCACACGCGCCCGGCATGAATTTTAAGCCACCGGGTCAGGGACGCGAACCGCAGTCGACTACGTGGGAGTCCAGCAACATAGCCATTAGGCTAACTGCTGGTTCCTGATATTTCTTTAAAAACTAAAAGTCAGGGCCAGTAGTTGGCATAATGACTATGTCGCTGGTCTCCCACGTAGTCAACCGCGGTTTGAATCCCGAACCCGGTGGCTTAAA